GATTAATTCACAACACCATAAAAACCTTGAATCAGACCAATCATGAAGTGTTAATTGAATAACATTACAACATTGAAAATGCTCAAAAATTAAAACACTAACAACATCAATCAAACAAAAATAAAACATGAGGACTCAGGACTCAAACCTGATTTAGTACATGACCCCCGACTTCACCACCTTAAACGTTAATGCCAAATACACTAGCTTCAGTAGCTGTTCTTGATTCTTGAGAACTCCCACCCTTCAATCGAATTAAATTTGTAATTCATTAGATACAATACTATTGTCTAAATGACATGATAAAAAGAAAAAAACATTTAATCAGTGTTTGGATGTTACAAAAGTTGCTACGTAAACTCACTTGGTCGAGGGGTTTCTTTTCTTTAATTTTATGAACTATTTGCTCAAGCTTTGATTGCTTTCTTTTAAATAGAGGTTGACCTTTGCTGCGCACTGACCGTGGAGTCTGAATTTTACTACTCCCCTCTTTGGAAGTACATTGAGGGCTTTAACAATTCGTAATATTGTCAACGGACATGTTTACATGGATATTAGTCTCACCGGCATTAACAATCCACTTCAGCTTCGTCTTCAACTCATTGATCATTTGCATAACCATATTACTTGTATTCTCGTTAGTTGATGCCAAATCTGCTACCATTGGGAATGCGTTGGACAACTGATCAAAACGTTGTCCTTTCTCCAATGTTTTAAAAATCGACCCGAGACAAAACTTGGCAAGGTGGCCGGGTCCCGGGTTGACTGGTTTAATCGGTTGAACCAGCTGGTTCAACCGCTGACGTCAGCAAAACACTGTTCACGGAATGCTTCCGCTAATTTGAGTAATTTCCAAAATTTAATATTACAATATAGTTTATGTATATCACAGCTTCTTTGTAAACACTACCTCAACTAATAATCTATATAATAAATGATATAACTATATGAAATAAATTATCACATTAATTGGGATGCACAAACTTTCTTAAACATTATTTTCCCAAAATCAACATTCATCTAATTCTACATATCATACGCCAATATGGCCACTGAGATAACAAAAACAATCAAAAGGATAATTAATTTTCTAGAATTCATTTTTAAAGAAGCACTATATTTCAAAATAACCCTCCCTAGTCGATCCACATCTCAAAGGGAAAAGTGGCTTTGGGTGAGGAATTTTGTCAAACAAGTGGTGGGCGAGTTGGCTGTGGGAAGGTTGGAGAAGATGCAGAGTCATCGGCGACCAGGTAATTACACATAAACAAAAAATCAGTATCATACACATGCTGCTTCCTACTTCAGCACCTGATTGTCCCAACTCCTAAGTCCCAACTGCATAATAGTAGCAGCAACAAAACAAACACAAATACATTCTTCAACCAAAATTGAAAAGAAAATCCTTCACACCAAAAATATAAAAGCATGAATTAACTTTTTCTAAGCAAAACCAAACATTTCAATAACAATTAAGCTCGCAGGGCCATTTTGCACACCGATGTTAAAGATCATTCTGTTCCACCATTTAAGACAAATAGATGTAATATGAACATGTAATGTGACGGGAAGATGAATTAACTTTTTCTAAGCAAACCAAACATTGCAGACAATGAATGCCGAACATGTAATGTGACGGGAAGATGAGCCAACAGTCCAACACAACTAAGGCATCTCATGCACAAGACCTGAAACAAAAAAAGAAGCCTAGACCGTGACAGTTACCTGGTGCAGCTCTTAGAAGAATGACAACGATGGATGTACAGCGTAGATCGACAGTGAAGAAGAGTGTGTGAGGACAGAGAAGATCGCGAAATGTGAGGAGATTCGCGGTAACGCAGTTGACGATGAAGTAAGCTGTTGATGGTGAAGCCTGAGCGATGAGATTCAATGGTGAAGGGGGAACTCCGTCGGTTATTTTCAGAGTTCAGACTTTCAAAGCAAAGGGTGGGAAATGCGTGAAAAGGGGGGGGGGGGGGGGNCAAGCCATGACAAATGGAGCACTTTTGAGATTATATTTACCACTAAGTTCATTTGAGATGAAAGCGTTGCAATGGTTCAGATGTGAATGGTTAGGAGATATAGAGTACAAATTGAATTTTGATCATGTACATTTTTTTCGTTTCCATTTTCTAGGGTCAATGAATGTGACACATATATTGTATCATGTTCTCTATGTAGAGAATTACAAAGTGAATATTTTATTTAGTGGCATTGTTATGGTTTGACTTGATGTGGAAGTAAGATTTTATAGTAATTTGTATATTTGATATGTTGAAATTTGGCAAGGAATATAAATGTATCAAAATTTTGATGTTCCCATGAGTAACGAGATCGTTTTTGTTGTTATACTAACTTTCTAAGATGTTCCTTAAAAAAGGGGATTCAATTGCTCGTTCCAAACAAAACCCATGCTGTGACGCAAAGAATGGGTTGTTCAGAAAGGTCGTTCTTGATTCATAGAAGAAGTAATGGCCCGTTCATATACCATAAAAGGTCATACTTATTCAATTGCACAGCTGTATGTTATATATTACCGGTCGTTCTACTTAATATATACGGTCGTTCTGGATATAGTAACAACTGTGTATCTTTCCAAGCTGTTCTAGTAAAAACGGTGAAATAAAAAATTATTTCAAGAAAGTAACAGTCGTTCAAAATCACAAGAATGGCCGTTTTAATTTCGGTAACAACCGTTCAAATTAAAAGAACAACCGTATTAATTTCAATAAGCCCGTGACACCTAGAAACAAGGTTGTTCAAAATCCCATTCCTTGAAATATATTTTAAACGCCAATAAAGATTATCAAAATTTAAAATAAAAAATTATGATACAAAAAATTCTTTCAAAAAAGTAACAACCGTTCAAATTAAGGCTGTTTTAATTTCAATAACAACTGTTCAAATTAAAAAAATGGTCGTTTTAATTTCAATAAGCCCACGACAACTAGAAACAGGTCGTCTAAAATCAAATATAATATTTTAAAATAATTATAATATTTTAAATTGAAATCAAATAATTATAATATTTTAAAGGTGTGGTTGGTGGTTGTAATTAATTATTTTAATTGAAATCAAATAATTATATTATTTTAAAAGTGTGGTTGGTGACCTTTAATTAATTATTTGAATTAGTGAGGAATGGTCAAGACCGTTCTTTATTGATGAACTAGGGGTTCTTATCATATGAACGGTCGTTCCTAAAATATGAACAACCGTTTTTCACTTGCTACATAATTCTTTTCTTTCCCATTCTACTCAAAAGAACTCTCTCGGACCTCTCTCAAAGTCGAAAGAACCCCTTCCAAAATCAAAGCCAAACCTCTCAATCAAGCCAAAATAGTATCAACTATATGGCTAGAACAAAGAATGCAGCTGCTGGATCAACTGGAAGTAAAAGAGGTAAACGCCAGGGGAACCTGATTAGACCAAACGGGGTGGAATTCAAAGATTTTAATCACAAGCGGATGTTCAATAAAATGCAGAAAAGAGGTATCTCTCTTGGAAAGACTGTTGATTTTTCAATTTTGGAAGCCTTGGGATTGAAAGATGAGGTTAATGCTTGGATTGTTAACTTGAGATGGCAAAGGCTTGTTGATATAAGATTACATGGTTTCACACACTTGATTTATGAGTGTTTTAGTAGTTTAGATGTTGTAGAGGGTGGAAGTGATGATTTCCCGCCATATACAATGTCATTTAGATTAAAGAATACCGAACATGTAGTGATGCTAGAGCAGTTAGCGGAATGGCTTGATTATGATTCTGCTGGATTGTTTAACGCCGGAAGGCCATGGAATTCTCAGGAAGCTTGGCGTAGGGTTGGAGGACAGGGTGGGACGTATAACCCAATTTGTTGAAATTAACTAAATTAGCAAACCCCTCAATGAGAATTTTCCATAGGTTTATTACGTCCTCATTCAATGCTAGGAAACAATCTAATGGGCAAGTAACGGTGAGAGATTTGATTTTAATGGAAGCCACATTGGATGAAACACAAGTGGATTCAGCCACCCTGATAATTAGGAAATTGAGGGAGGTAATCAATGAAAAGGGTGATATTTCCTTGGGTATGCCAGTCACACATATATATATATATATATATTTTTTTTTTTTTGGCAAGAGGTTAAACCTTGAGTTTACTGACATGGATGAATGTGGGAGAATAAAATTCGATGGTCAAAACTTATTGAATGCAATTTCTCTACAAAAAATGAGGATGATCAGAAAAATTAGGCGAGGCCAATGGGAAATGATCTTGGGAGAGGAAGAACAAGAACCAGCACCTTAGGAAGCTGAATCCATAAGGCAAGATGTGCCTGAATCCTCTACTAGAAGAAGAAAGATAGCAAGATCAGCGATTGAGGACAAATCTTACCTGAACCCTCTATTTGGACAATCTCAATATGAAGAAGGAACTCCTAATCTAGTGCAACAAATATTACAACAACTAAGCTCAATCTCTACAAGACTTGAGCAAACTAGCGCTAGCATCGATTCGAGGCTTTAGCAAACTAATGCTAGCATCGATTCCCTATCGACAGTACACATGTCCAGGACAGGTTCCAGCACCTTGATGGTAGCGTCAAGGATCTCTCGAATCAGTTTAAGTGTTTTGTTTTTTCATTAATGGTGACTGTTATGTTGATCACTTGACTGACTAGTTTATGTAATGCAAAGTAATTTGGTGGGTAGGTGTAAGTTTGACCAATTCAATTTTTAATAGCATGACTAGCATTAATTTAGCTTCATTTTGTCAATTGGATGAACACCATTTCTTTTGTTCCACTAAACTGCATTGAAGCAGTTTCCCAATCTTGGAGCAAAATTACAGAAGGGCAAAAAACTGCAAGAAAACGCAATAAAAATTGCTATATTTTACATTTCTCTCCTGGAACCTAGTAAAAATTTGATGAATGCCAAAGGGATCTCTCTCACTTAAGTCATTGCTTGCTATCTGATGAATGCAGATCCTAACAAGTTTTCAGTAATCATTCAGAAAAGAATAAATATGCTATATCATTTCATGAAGGGATAAAAGAACAAAATAGTACAACCCATCAGTCTCATTTTATTATAATCAAAGAATCCGTTAGGGCTATGACTCGAAATGCTACATTATTGCCATTTACAGAAAATGTGCAATAAAAGAAAACCACAATCTGCCATCGCATGACTTCTTTTATGATGCAAGAAATGTGAGACATTACCATCAGTTTTCATCGGATTTTGGAAGACCCTTCCACTAGAAGTTGTCTGCATATGACTTCACCTGAAAAACAGAACACAAAATAAGCTTCACAATGTAAGACTTGGAAAAACTCGGACTCATGCAAACCAAATTTGGTTATTAGTTGTTGTTATTCACTTATTTGCTCTCAATTAGAAGGCATTTCATCTGTTTGATCCAATGATGGCAATTACATACGGCAGAACCAAGTTTGCAATCTAATACCCACCCCACAACTGGGCTGGGAAATATGATATGTCCTACACAATGGCATAGAGAGTTCTTATGTCACTGCTTTTTCAGTGTTTAATCAGTACACCCAATGTTGAAAGTGCAGCAACGTCTGTCATCTTTAAAACTGACTAGCTGAAATAAATTTGATTTACATTTGTTCCATGCTTTATAAGTTAACCTCGTAAATATACTACCTCTATCATCATATGACCAATTGGAATACCAACTATATAATTTCTCATTTAATATGCTGATGCATAATTGTAACTGATATTGGAAAAATATAATTACTTCAATTCAGTAGCTACAACTCTAATCAATTGCAGTCAAATGTTTTAGTCAAGTTATTCTTCTTCCTAGTTTAAAAAAATGTCAGAATGGAACACAGATTATGCACCCGACAATAATATGGAGAAGCAAATAGCTAAAATGCCCATAAAAATGGTTAGTTAAGAGTATCAAAACTTCAGCAATGGTGTATGGCGCTTCCTGACCTGAAAATTAGTAAAAGAAGTATAATCAATAATCGATACGGTGGACATTAAGAATGAACAGAAAAATAAACACATTAACTTCACATGAAGCAACCGAGTGAAGATTTAATTAAATAGTTGAAAATTATGAAATTAAGCACGCAAATAAATAGGAACTACTCTATGAAAACTCAATAATTGTGACACAAAAACATTTAGGATAAAGAAGTACTCGGTATTACCAAAATCTTCCAATTTGAAGGGAAGAAAGATGATGGAATAAAATTCCGAAATCATATTCTTAGCATCAACTAAGAATTTATAAATTGCAAAGCATCCATGAATCATAACATAGAGAAAGTGAACAAACTAATCTATGTTTAGTAGAAAGACTTCAATACGAAACTTAAACAACATGTACCACATACTCCCAACTGTGTCTCTCAGCAAATGCCTTTGCAGCTTCTTCACTATCAAAACTAAATCCAGCATCACCTACATTGGCATATGGGTCTCTTGTGGATGTCCAACCCATCAATGGATTTTCCAACCTACAACAATTTACTAAAACTTATGAAACCGGTAAAAGAGACTTATAATATTAAAAGAATTGCTTGACTTGCACTGGTTCAAGAAAGTAGCTAGATATTTCTATTATCTTTAAAGTATAACTAATTAAAGGCCATTCCAGTAGCCCAGCCAGAAACTAATCAGATTGCATTCAGCTAAAGGCCTTATAAGAAAATATCCCCAAACAATGTATTATTAATAAGAGAATTCAGATTATACCGAAAGAAGCAATGTGGGAGAGGCCACTTCAATTGTTATGACTGCAAATTCTAATTCTATAGCCGAATTCCTTGCCAATAAATAGAACCCAACTAAGTTGATAGTATTTAGTAAACCTGAGATAAAAATAAATAAATAAGTAAATAAAATATACATACTTTTGAGTGGACATAAAATTGATTTTCCACCTCCCAACTTTTCCAGATCCTTGCCGAATAACAATTCTAGCAGGTGAGCAAATTACAACCTGCCATAAGGATCGAAACATGAAAAGAAAATCTTAACAACACGATCAATCAATCACAATATATTAACTTCAATTAAAAACAAAAGTAAAAGCCCCAATTAATGTTCATGTATTAGGAATTTCAAAACCCTAATAACCAAATCCAACTACCATCTTATCCTTTTATAAATACCAATTCTGTCAGAGAAGAAAACGTTAATCATCTTGACAGCGGCGACTGGAGATTGTGGTTGCTGGTGGTTTCTGTCGGTGGCAAATATTGGTGACAGCGGTTGTGCGGCTACGTCTGGAGAAGGTGGGTAGTACTGGTTTCGGCCGGTGGGAGGTGGTGGTTTAAATTAAAATTTTCTTTTCAAACCCTAAAATTCAAAACGAACCACTCAAGATAAACAAGAAATCAAACTCCCATCAAGTGATAACCCATAATGTTAAGCAAAAAACGAAAAAAAAAAATTGTTACTCACCAATTCGTTGGTTTTACTTCTCGACACTTTGGTGGTGGCGGTGGTTTCGGCCGCTGGGTGATGGTGGTTTCTGTCGGCGGCTACAGCTGGAGAATGGGGGTGGTGATGGTTTTGGCCAGTGGTGGTTTCGGCCGGTGGTGGTTTCGGCAGTGAGTGTTGGAGCGTCAGGGATTTTACAAATTCAATTTTGTGTGGGAAAAATGTTTGGGAATGAGATTTTAGGGAAAATGATTTTTGGAATTCACGTGATTTTGAATTTTAGGGTGTCTCGATAAATTTTCTTTTTTTAAATTGGGTGGGAACTAACTTTGCTACTGGCTGATCGTGGGGTATTTTTTTGGGAGAATTTGAACCGTACAGTATAGGTTCCAAAAAAAGGAACATGAACTTGAACTGTACAATATAGGTTCTTAAATTCAAGGAATTGTAACCTAAAATGTAGGTTTTGGTTCTTTTTTCGGATACCCTGTAAAAAATTAATTACCCTCTTATTAGTTTAAAAATGATAAAAATACCTTAAAAGTTTACAAATACACCCCTAACAAATTTTTATTACTCATTCGTTTGTTTCCAATGTGACTCATAAATCCTCTAATCTTTAAGTAATACTTGAATTCAATCAATTCATCACAATTCACATAAAAATTCTCAATCAAAACGAAAATACAAATAATTAATTTAATTAATTAAATAATCATACTATAAATCTATAATTTAATATTATAATTAATTAAATTTTTAATTATTTAATTAACTATTGTACTAATGTTTTTAATGAAATATTATAATTAATTAAGTAATCATACTATAAATCTATAATTTAATGTTATAATTAATTAAATTTTTAATCATTTAATTAAATAGTGTACTGTTGTTGTAAATTAGTAATGTTTATAATGTAATGTTATGAATTTATAATTAATTAAGTAATCATTTTACTATATAATGTTATAATTAATTAAGTTATTATAATATAGTGTAATGTTATTATTAATTAAGTAATTATTTAATTATAATATAATGTTTTAATTAATTAAATTTATAATCATTTAATTAAGTATTGTACTAATGTTTATAATAAAATGTTATAATTAATTAAGTAATCATTTAATTAAACAATTATACTATAAATTTATAATGTAATGTTATAATTAATTAAATTTTTACTCATTTAATTAGGTATTGTGCTAACATAGTATGTTTATAATATAATATCATAACTAATTAAATAATCATTTCGTTATGTAATATTATAATTAATTATGTGATCATCTTATAATGTAATGTTATAATAAATTAAGTAATCATACTATAAATCTTTAATATAATATTATAATTAATTAAATTTCTAATAATTTAATTAAGTATTGTACTAATGTTTATAATGTAATGTTATAATTAATTAAGTAATCATACTATAAATTTATAATGTAATGTTATAATTAATTAAATTTCTAATCATTCAATTAAGTATTATGTTAATATAGTAAATTACTAATGTTTATAATATAATGTCATAATTAATTAAATAATTATTTAATTATGTAATGTTATAATTAATTATGTGATCATACTATAATGTAATGTTATAATAAATTAAGTAATTATATTATAAATCTTTAATCTAATATTATAATTAATTAATTTTTTAATCATTTAATTAAGTATTATATTAATGTTTATAATGGAATGTTATAATCAATTAAGTAATAATTTGTTTATAATGTAATGTTATAATTAATTAAATAATTATACTATAAATTTATAATGTAATGTTATAATTAAATAAATTTCTAATTATTTAATTAAGTAATGTACTAAATTACTAATGTAGTATTATAAAATTATAATTAATTATGTAATCATTTAACTATAATGTAATGTTATAATTGATTAAATAATCATTTAACTAGTAATGTATTAATATTTATCCATTTATTTTATACAATTAATTAATTACTAATTTACTACAGATATACTTAGAACTTGATAATTGAAGTAAATAACTAAATATTATATTATTATTCAATCAAATATACTATTTTATTTAAAAATAATTATTTTAATAATATTAAAATACTTTTAATTGGTCCTAATTCAATTATACACTTAATTAATCAAAACTTTAATATTAATATATTAAAGTTTTTTATATTGTGTAGTTTATATGTAATAAATATAATTGTATATTTATTTAATTAGGTTATTGTAAAAATTTAATTTTTTCCATTTTAAATTTTTTTATATGTAAAATTACATAGACCCCTATTTTTCACAAATATTTTATTTCAACCTAGGATCCAAATCAGGTTTCAAGCTCGGTACCCACTGCATGTTCTTTTTTCTAGGTTCCGATTCCAATTCCTCCACATGTAGGAACTGGAACCAGAACTGTACAATGTCGATTCCAAAAAAATGGAACCGGAACCTACTCGCATAGTGTCAGTTCCGGGTAGGTTATGGTTTCGGTTCTACTCGCAGGTTTCAGTTCTACTCACCTTTAGTGGGAGATATACAAGGAATAATACTACACATATAATATTCTCATACAATATTATGTGACAAAAGATGATTGTGTAAAAGTTTAATTTTAATCTAAAATTAGCCAATCATATTTTGTTATATAATATTGTATAAAAAATATTTTATGTGTAGTATTACTCATGTATAAATTGTAGTTGTCATATGAGAGTTGTAAGAAAATATTGTTTTTGTAGCATTATTAATGAAATAATTATTTTGATAACTTCAAGAAGGAATAAATATCTCATACATTATTGATGGGATTGGATTTGATTTTTTTTCCCCCTAAAATTCATTGAAACCTTCGAGAAGGAATAAATATGTCATACATTCAATTATTTTTATGTGTTTTAAAAAAAATTTGAGATCCTTTTCATTTATAGTAACGAATTCAGCCATGCAAAATTAATAGGATTCAATTATTTTCCAGATTTGTAGATATCCTCAATTACTTTTTCTGTTTGTTTTTAGGAAACTTTGCTTACCAATTTAGTTAATGGTTTAGTTTCACCAATATAAATAAAGAACAGAAGTGCTCACTATGAAAACTAAAAAATATAACGCAAAGAATATGGAGAAGTCTTCAATCATGTTAGCTTTCGTAGTTGCACTCTTGGTTTTTTCTATCGGTAAAACCTTCTTCTTCTAAAAAAATATTTTTTTAATTTATCATATTCATGTTGTCAAAATTATTATGTTAATTAATATTAATTACTTTGAAATAAAATTATTGATGATATTATAGATTTGGAAATGGAAGCAGAAGGAAGAAATGTATCTTTCCCATGCAACACTACGGCCGATTGTGGAGATCCAGTTCATTGTATATGTGAAGAAGTTACTCATTATTTTATTTGCCATGCTGATGCTGCCATGAAGAATGAACATCAGGCTAAATCAAGCCATATAAATGTTCCAAAAAAAAAAAAAAAAAAAGGAATAATTGGATTTTACCAATTAGTTAATTTTGTGATATTTTTATATCAATAAAGCTTATTAGTTTATGGTGGCTACATATTTAACACAAAATCATATCAATTAAACTAATTCATGGTTATGTTAAACCTAGTCCATAGATTTTGTGATATCATATTAGTTTTAGAGTATATGCTTAAAAGAAAATCGCGATGTCAATATTTTATTATAAAAATAAAATGCTTAGTTACGTATTTTCTTATTATTTAACTTACGATACTTCTTCAACTTGAAATTTTTTTAAGTGAAACAGGTATATCTCCTTTTTTTAATTAAGACAATTGTTGGGGCCTGGGGGCAAACTTTTGTCGATATGTCTTCAATGTTCATGGGGTAAATAAGTATTAATAACACAATTGAACATTTAATCAAACAAACAAACCCAGTTGTTTATTTAATCAAAACAGAAAAACCTAGTAAAACAATCAATTCTCATTCTAATATTATTTTGTGTGGAAATTTTTTTCTTTTATGTCAAGAATTTTGTTAAATCTCTTATAACTTTTTGTTAATAAATTTTGCTATTTATTGTATACGAAAATTTCATCACATTATGATGAAGCACACATAAAAACATGCACACTTCCCCTCTAAAAGAAATTTCAAATATATGTTATCATGTTCATATTCTAGACCTTCAAAATTAACATCTTAATAATAATAAAAAAAAAAAAAAATACAAAGGAAGTAAAAACTTGAATCCCTAACTCCTTAGGTTTCGTGATACCAATTAAGCAGGTTGTCAATTAATTGCTGCTTCTGCCTTAAGCTTCGAAGTTCTGCCATTGCAGCTTCGATTTTGGCTTCATTATCCGCCTTCATCTTTTCCAGTCTTCCCTTCTCGGCTTGGTTGCCTCCATCGTCAATCTTTTCCTGGTCAGCTTCGTTGTTTGTCAATTTTGGTGTTTTCCTTGGAGGCCAATCCATTCTTTGCTCTTCTACATCATGAGAGCACATAGGAGATGTAGGTGTGTAGCTTGATGAAGGTGACTCCGGGCTATAATGGGAAGGTGAGTTTGGAGTGCATAAAGGAGAAGATCCCATGGATCTTGAAGGTGAGTTTGGGGTGTATAAAGGAGAAGATTCCATGGATCCTGAAGGTGAGTTTGGTGTGTTTAAAGGAGAAGATTTCATGGACCTTAAAGATGAATTTGGGGTGCTTAAAGGAGAAGATTTCATGGATCTTGAAGGTGAGTTTGGTGTGTATAAAGGAGAAGATTTCATGAATCTTGACGGTGAGTTTGGGCTGTAATGGGAAGGAAACTCCATGGAAAATGAAGTTGAGTTTGAGCTGTAATGAGGAGGACTGTAATGAGGAGGAGACTCCATGAATGGCTTGTTATTAGGACAAGGAGAATCCATAAATCCAACCAGAGAGTCTGGCGGCTTGGAACGATGAAGGGAATCCATTAAGCCATCAGGAAAGTCTCGCTCCACATGAAAGTATGGCCGCTTGCGACATCGACGAGCCTCCATCAATCCAACAGAAAAGCCTTGCTGCACATCAGAGTTTGGCCGCTTGTATAGCCGAAGAGGCTCCATGATCAATTCAACAGAAAAATCTCACGATTAACCCGACCGGAAATTCTCGTTACAACGGGAGGAGAGTCTGGCAGTTGCTCTTTGTTGTGTCCAAGAGAAACAAACATAAAATATAAATACATATAAAGTCCTAATAGAAAGTTATAAGGATTCCTATAAAATTAAGGAATTTGTCTTGTGTTAGGATTAGGAATCCTTAGCTTATTTCA